ACTTGGATGATAGGTATATTTTAAGTGAGATAACAAGGAGTAATACTATCAAGGCACTTTCTCCACACCCACCATTTGGTTGGACCAAAACCTCAGTATCTCTTGTTTTATAGTTAAGGGGCTATTGACTATTGACTAAAGGACTATCACAGTGGATAGAGGGCCAGGCCTGGAGTCAGAAAAGCTCATCTTCCTTACTTCTAACATGGCCTCATACACTTACTAGCTGTGTGACCCTGAGGAAGTCACTTAACCTTGTTTATCTCAGTTTCCTCATCTGTAAAATGAACTGGAGAAGGAAATGACAAACCACTCTAGTACTTTTGCTAAGAAAATCCCAAATGAGGTCATGAAGAGTCAGACATGACTGAAATGACTCAACAATAACAACAAAAGTGGTCACACAGCTAGTAGGTATCTATGTCATTTTTCAGTCAGGTATCTGACTCTTTATTTGGGGTTTTTTTGGATACTGGAGTGGTTTGCCATTTCTTTCTACAGCTCATTTTACAGATGAGGAAACTGAGACAAACAGTGTTAAGTGACTTGCCCAGGGTCACACAACTAGTTAAGTGTCTGAGGCCAGATTTGAACTCAGGAAAATGAGTCTTCCTGACTCCAGGCCCAACATTCTATCCAGCTAGCTGCCCCACTTTATTAATGCTATCATTAATATTATTATTATTCCAGCTCTAGAACCTCTGCTCCTGGGATTCATTTACCTATTAGCTGAGAAGCACCCAGTGTTATTTAGCAGAGATGCCCTAAGGAAATGGAACACAGGACAGGGCCCCTGGCTTTTTCCCCTCTCTGAAATCTGCTGCAAAGCCAGAACAGTACATCCCCAGAAGCCTGAATCACCAGGACCCCCAGCCCAGACTGGGGAGGACTCTACTTTTCTCTGTAGAAGACTGACAGGCTGAGTGGGCCCTGGAGGGGAGGTCCCCATGAGAGAGGAGAGGCCCCGGCACTGGCCCCTTTGTCCATTGTGGGGGTAATGATTTTCCTCTCCTGGGTCCCCAGGGTTTTGCCTCTGAGGTCAGAAGGATTTCCTGTCAGGTCACAGGTCAAACACCGCATGTCCTTGAGAGAGTTACGTTTGTTTCATTATTCACGGGCCCCTTCTCTTTCCCCTTTCCCCTCCCCCCATGCCCAGGAAGAAGGATTGGCTGATTTGGGAGCAGGAAACTGCATTCCACAGGCAAAGGGCCAGTTAGAAGTTTCACTGTGAATCTATCTTTGGGTCCTCAAGCAGGGAGGCATCTCTGAGGTCAGCTCCTCATTCCAAGGCCTCCTGGATGGCCCGTGCTCTCCTCCAGAGTTGGGGGTGGGTGGAGAGGATGAAGAGCTTCTTAAAATTCTTTACAAGATTGGCTCAAAGAGGGAATAACATACACACTCAATTGGGTATAGAAACCTATCTTACTCTACAGGAAAGTAGGAGGGAAGGGCATAAGAGAAGGGGGAGGGAGGTGTGATAGAAGGGAGAGCAGATCGGGGGAGGGGGTAATCAGAAGCAAAACACTTTTGAGGATAGACAGGGTAAAAGGAGAGAGACACAGAATAAACGAGGTGGGGAATAGGATGGATGGAAATAGAGTTAGTAATAATAACTGTGAAAAAAAATTTGAAGCAAGTTTCTCTGATGAAGGCCTCATTTCTCAAGTATGCAGAGAAGTGAGTCAAATTTGTAAAGATGGGAACCATTCCCAATTGATGGATGATTGAGGGATATGATCAGTTTTCTGATGGGGTAATCAAGGCTATCTATAGCCAAATGAAGAAGTGCTCTAATTCACTATTGATTAGAGAAAGGCAAATTAAAGCAATTCTGAGATACTGCCTATTAGATTAGCTAATAGGACAGCAAAGGTAAATGATAAATGTTGGAGGGGGTGTGGGAAAAATGAGACATTAACGCACTGTTGGTGGAGTTGTGAACTGATTCAATCACTCAGTAGAACAATTTGGAAATATGCCCAAAGGGCTATAAAACCTTGCATACCCTTTAAGCTAGCAAAACCACTACTGGGTCTGTATCCCAAAAGAGACAAAAAACAAAAAAAGAAAAGGACCTATATGTACAAAAACATTTATAGCAGCTCTTTTCTGGTGGCAAAGAATTAGAAATTGAAGGGATGCCCATCAATTGGGGAATAGCCGAACAAATTGTGGTATGTAATTATGATGGAATACTATTGTACTATA